CATGCCTCAAGTACCGACATCCGATACCGACATCCCCATGACGTCGGTCTTGTCTGAAATAGCAACAGGAATCCTTGGCCAAGAACAATCTTCCCATGAAAAAGACATAGAAATACATGAGGATATAGACCCAAGGATGCAGTTCAAAGATGGAAGTCATCATATCCGAGCGGAACCTGTTGAAGATATTGAGATCATTTACGTGGACGGGTTAGAACAACAGAAGTCGTTGCGTATTGGGGCCAACCTGCAGGAACCCCTTCGGTCAAGTTTGATTCAATTCCTCCAGTCAAACACTGATGTATTCGCATGGAAGCATGAAGACATGAAAGGAATCGACCCACAGAAGGCATGTCATCGTCTCAATTTGGACAAGACTGTCAAACCGGTTATTCAGAAACGTCGGAAATTTAGTCCGGATCGCCAGAAGGCTCTTGAAGAGGAAGTAAATAAGCTCATCGATAATAAATTTGTTAAAGAAGCCAAGTACCCGACGTGGATATCGAACCCTGTTCTAGTTAAGAAAGCAACCGGCCTTTGGCGTCTTTGTATAGATTTCTCTGACTTGAATCAAGCGTGCCCGAAAGATAGCTATCCCATTCCACACATCGATTACATGGTAGACGCTACGTCGGGACACCAACTTATGAGTTTTTTGGATGCCTATTCAGGCTACAATCAGATTCCCATGCACCCTGATGATGCTGAGCATACCTCGTTCTATTCAGCTCGAGGCCTTTATTGTTACGTTATGATGACTTTCGGGTTGAAGAATGCAGGGGCCACATATCAAAGATTGGTCAACAAAATGTTTGCTCGCTTAATTGGCCATACCATGGAAGTCTATGTAGACGACATGTTGGTGAAGTCGGAGCAGGCTCCCGATCATATTGCTCATCTCTCCGAAGTCTTCGATATACTCCGAGAATATTCCATGGTACTCAACCCCAAAAAATGTACTTTCGGAGTTGGATCAGGGAAGTTTCTAGGGTACATGGTAAGCCAAAGAGGGATCGAAGCCAATCCCGCCAAGATTCAAGCCATACTTGACCTAGCTCCCCCGACATCTCTCAAAGGCGTCCAAGCCTTAACTGGTCGACTGGCAGCTCTTAATCGGTTCATTTCGAAATCTACAGATCATTGTAAACCATTCTTTGACGCTATCAAAAAGAAGAAGCCGTTTGAATGGACCGTGGAATGCCAGAATGCTTTTGACAACATTAAACAAGTTCTCTTGCAGTTACCAACGTTGCAAAAGCCACTTCCCGATGAGCCTCTCTATTTGTATCTTGGTGTAAGTAACGTTGCTGTGAGTGCTGTCCTTATACGTCAAGACGGACTTCAGCAGTTTCCAGTGTATTATATTAGCAAGGCCTTGCATGACGCTGAGTTGCGATATCCGCATATGGAGAAGCTGGCCTATGCTCTGATCATTGCTGCACGAAAGTTGCGCCCATATTTTTTGGAGCACTCAATTGTTGTGTTCACGACATATCCTCTCCGACAAGTCCTTCACCGACCTGACATGTCAGGAAGAATGATTAAGTGGGCAATTGAGTTGGGACAGTTCGATATACAGTACCGACCGCGAACCGCTATCAAGGCCTAAGTACTGTCCGATTTCATTGCTGAATTTACTCCCACTGTCGATTCATCCATTGAAGATCCGACGTGGACTCTCTACATTGACGGGTCGTCCACCGCTATGCGAGCTGGGGGGGGGGGAATTGTCCTGGTTAGTCCCGATCAGCAAGTATTTTGTTACTCTGTGGCATTTACTTTCCCAGCCACCAATAACGAAGCCGAGTACGAGGCCCTCTTATCAGGATTACACTTTGCCGAATCCATGAATGTTTCCTCTCTTCGGATATTTTCCGACTCCCAGTTGCTAGTCAGTCATATCAACGGCACTTACGAAGTCAAGGAACCACGGCTGTTGCCCTATTTTGATCTCGTTAAAAAGAAGCTGGCACGATTTAAAATGACGCTGGAGCATATACCTCGGTCATCCAATGTCCAGGCAGATGCTCTTTCGCGACTAGCCTCATCAACCGACTTGGATAATGTTGAATTTGTGCAAATTACCCAACAGGCGACCTCATCCACAGTCTCTACCGACGTCGTTATGGTTGATGCCGCCTCAGTAACCCCAAATTCTACATGGATGGACCCAATCATCGACTATCTTCGAACCGGGGCCTTACCTGAAGACTTGAAAGAAGCTCGTACTCTCCGTGTTCGTGCTGCTCATTACACCATCGATGAAGGGACATTATATAAACGCGGGTATTCTACCCCATTGCTCAAATGTTTGTCGGAGAAAGATGCTCAACGAATTTTGCAAGAAGTACATGAAGGAGTCTGCGGCACCCACCAAGGAGCTCAAACTTTGTCTCATAAAATTCTCCAGCAAGGCTACTACTGGCCTACTCTTCGGAAAGATGCTGCGGATTGGGTGCGACGGTGCCACAAATGCCAGATATTTGCTCCCAACGTTAACCAACATCCTGAACTCCTCAAATCAATATATAGTCCATGGCCGTTCGCAAAATGGGGAATTGACTTGATCGGCCCGCTTCCGACAGCAAAAGGAGGAGTTCAGTTTGTTATATTAGCTGCAGATTACTTTACCAAGTGGGTTGAAGCTGAGCCCCTTGCCACCATTACCGAGCAAAAAATGGTGGATTTTGTTTGGAAATCAATCGTTTGTCGGTTTGGGGTCCCCAACTCCATTATAACCGACAACGGTCGTCAGTTTGAAGGCAAACGATTTGAAGGTTTTTGTGAAGATTACGACATTAAGCATTTCTTCTCGTCACCTTATCACCCACAAGCTAATGGACAGATAGAGGCCGTAAACAAGATTATCAAGAATGGCCTGAAAACTCGACTTGAAGCTGCAAAAGGATCGTGGCCCGATGAATTGCCTTATGTCCTCTGGTCTTATCGAACGACGACAAGAAATTCAACTGGAGAAACTCCGTTCTCGTTAGCTTATGGAACTGAAGCTGTGATACCGGTTGAACTTGCCTCTCCGACATATCGGGTCACTCACTTCTCCGAAGAAACCAACCCAGCAAACTTGAAGGCCAGCCTCGATCTGCTCGATGAATTACGTGCTGACGCTGAAGTTCGCAATGCATCTTATAAACGACGTAGTGAAAAATATATAAACTCGAGACTCAAGCCACGTTCGTTTGTTAAAAGGGATCTCGTCCTGAAAAGGGTCACTGGTGCTCATGTCGGCCCGTTACAACCAAAGTGGGAAGGACCCTTTAAAGTAAATCGTCTAATCTCCAATGGTGCTTACCGACTTGAAACGTTAGACGGTGTTCCCCTTCAATATCCCTGGCACACGACATATCTGAAGAAATACCACCAGTAAATCTGATGTCAAAGGTCTTGTCCCCGACGTGTAAAAAAAGGTTTTTGTCCTACTGCTGTACAGGAATCATGTTTTGTTATCAATAAAATTTGTGTGACGAACCCCAGTAATTTGTTCGATCACTCGGACCACAATAAATCGGTCCTCGTTGCTAAGGCTAAACGTGTTTCATACCCTGAAGATGGTATGACCTAGCCGAACGCAGCAAAGCCGGATACTTCCAAGCCCTGAAGATGGTTTGGGGAGGCTTATGCTCTACGATACCGAATCCCAACGATGATTTGGTGAGCTTACAATAAATATTTCCAGTAAATAGCAAATCTTTTATGATTTGTTCGATTAAGGAGCCCGCAGATGTCGGATAAGCTATAAATTGTTTCCGATAAAGGAAAGTTTGATGTCGGAAGTGCTGTAAGATTACGCCGACGTCAGTAATTTGTATAAATTATTACTCTAATATTATGTCGGAAATTTTAAACTTGATAAATATTTACCCATCTTTTCCGACATGACAAATCATTAAAACATGCGCGAAACAAATATCCCATTCATCAAACATTCATATTCCATTTCAAAACCAAATAACAGTACATTCTCAAAAGAAAAAATAAACAACAAGACAATGTAAACACATCAATTTTCTTTAGTCCCTGACGACGACGCTTTTCCTGCATCAGAGAGTTGAGGATTTTCCATCCCAGCCTTGTCCTTCTCAACGCCATCCAGGTGCTCAATCAATCTTTGGCTCAGGCGCTGAACGACATCCTCTTCCTTCTCTTCCAGTGCTCGGACGACGTCGCTCTCTTTGATTATGACGACGTCACCATCTTCATGCAAGACACGATCATCGTCAGAAGGGACTGGGTCAATCACCCATCCCTTAGCCTTGGCATCATCCTCTGCCACCTTGCGCGCAGCATAACCAACAATTGCGCTTAAAAGCTCCTCATCCGATAGACCCTCAAATGTTTCGGTGACAAAAGCCTCAGCAATGGTCTCCACGCATATGTTAGCCATTTCAGGCTTTTTGGCCTTCTCCACTTCAAGGACCATGTCAACAAATGATCGCCTGATTTTCGCCTTCCGCTCTTCCGACAAGGGCACCATGTCCAGCTCCAACATCCGACTTTCCTTCTGCTTTAGAAGTCGGTCAGCAAAGTCTCTCTCGTCTTGGTCGGCCGGGATATGGGCATTCTTCATCTCAGGGTTGAAGCCATACTTTTCCATCTTGTGAAGCAGATAAATGCGCAGTTCATCCATGGTATATACACCGCTATCAACCCTATCTATCACCCACCGTAAAGCCAAGGCGGCGTTTAACTCCAGCTCCCATTATGTTGCCGCACCGGCGTCAGCTGCGTCGTCGGGCTCGGCTACCGATTTCTTGCCGACTTCGATACCCTCTTGGAATTTGAGCTCGGCGGTGGCAGTCATTTCTTGACGGAGTTTGTTCATCGCCAATTCGTGAGCTTCACGGCTTCGGATCAGCTCAGCATCCTTATCGGATCGATCCTTGCGGACGGCCTGAAGCTCAGCCTTTAACCTTATAAGCTGCTCGTCCTTTTCTTTGGCCACCTCCGCAACTTTGGCCAACTCAACCGACGTGAGATCATGGGCAAGCAGTAAGTTTTCTTTCTCGGTTTTGAGGGTATTCACTTCGGTCAGTGTCGCCTGCAGTTCAGCATCCTTCCTTGACAAGGCTGCCTCATAGCGAGACTTCTCATCTTCCAGAGAAGCTATGGCGCCTTCTTTTAAACTCAGTTCATGTTTTTTTTCATCGAGTTCGTGAGCTCTGTTCCGGTAACTGTCTTCGGCTGCTATAAAACTGACAAGAGCCCGGCCTAAACAACCTCGGGCGTAACTGAACTTCTGGTCATCTGGCAGTGATGCGATCCCCGCGTGAGTCTTTGGGTCCCACGACATCAGTGGAACCCTTGCCGCTTTAACTGCTTCATCGGGGAACCGCTGGTTATTCGTGATTTTTGGCTCGACGACCGTTTGAAACATCGGAAACCAGGGGTCAAACACACCTTCTGGCAGCGTCAACTCCGCCGCCTTCTTCTCATTTATCTTGAGGAAGGAATCCCTCAAAACAATTTCGGGTTCCTCTTCCTTGTCTTTGCCAGTGCCAGTGTCTTGTTTCTTCTTCATCTTCTCCGCCACATGAGATACACTGGACCTTTTGCGACGATGAACCACTGGCTCGTCGGGCACCTCCTGTGCTTCTTGAGAGATCTCCGCCTCAACCACGGACTCACCGACTGGCGTCATTATTTGCCGCAGTGGTTCCACTTCAAGTGGCGGGACGTCGGCAGCTGTTGGCTCGTTCACGATCGCCGGCGTCGGTTCTACCCTAGTTGATGACGGTTCACCAACAGTACCCTGAGATCGGTTGGGATTTTTCTTCCATGCTTTGAGAAGGTTCAGGCGTCCGGCCATCTCAGTTGATCGGAAATTCTTGTTTTTTCCGACTTTGTTTTTTAAGTCCCAGTTCGGATTACGTCTCCGATGCTCTTCAGCTTCTGCAAGATCTCCAAAACCGAAGTATCCCAGCAACGGGTAATAGACTGTTACAGTAAGTTTAAAGTTAGGACGATGTCGTTAACACGAGTAATGATATGAGATAAACGAAGTAAGTGGAGAAGATTACCTGGTAAAAATGAAGAATTAAGTACTCCAAGAGACAATCCAGCCAACTCTAAGCGAGAATCTTTCACGAGTCATTGGTATCGACGTTTGTTGGCGGACACTTCAAACAATTTGTCTACTCGATCGTATAGTAGACCTTCAAACTTCGGCTCTTTCTTCCCGGTTGGTTTTGCTACAAGGTCACAAAAGTCCACCTGTTAGCGACAACAAAAAACAAAATATTAATAACCGAAGTGAAGAAAATGAAAACAACTTACAATAACCAGATTTAGTGGCCATTGGGATGCTTATCCCGTCGGCAAGAAGATCATTAGCGAAGTCGGGGCACTGCCAATCTCCCCCGACCCATAACCACTCCTCTTGGAACCCATGTAGAGTATCAGGGACCTCTAGTATTAGCTCACCGACTTTAACCCTCGGTTGCGGTTTACCAACAATGGAAAAGG